GAAATGAGTAAGATGTGCCTTTTTTGTTTCATCTGACTTTGTTCTGGTATGTTTTTGTAAGCTTCCATGTTCTCCTACACCCTCCCACACCCAATAGAGAAATATTTCAGAATCTCAAGGTAAACATTTCACTTCCTGACAGCACAATGCTAAACATGTATACCCTGAGGAAGAAAGTTTGATCAAGTACTGAACACTTTTCTTTGTAGTAAATGTGTTCGTGATTATAGATTAAATGTCCTTGCAACATAGTTTTTTTTCTGTTTTAATCCATTATTTAAAAATATATTTCAGTCTAAAAATAATGCACAGGTAATTGGTGATAGTTCAGAAGTATATGGGCATATGAAATTTAGCTTCAATGTTATGGTAATCATAACTCTATGATCATTATTCTTTGGAGAAGAATAATGATCATAGAGTTATGATTACCATAAGAGGAGAATTCAGTGGAGGAAAGTCAGAATAGTTTAGTATTTTGAAGCAGGTTTTCACTGTGAATCCTCAATCCTTCAGAAAACCTGACATTTATGAATACAGTGGTGCCCCGCATAGCGACGTTAATCCGTTCCAGGATTAATGTCGCTATCCGGATTCTTCGCTATCTGGGCGGGGAAACCCCATAGGAACGCATTAACCTCCGTTTAATGCGTTCCTATTAGGGAAAAACTCCCCGATAAGCGAAGAATCCTGGATCCGGCCGCCATTTTCGCGGCCCGGTAAGTGAGGGCAGGGCGCGAAAATGGTGCGGGCGGCCATTTTCTGCACCCGGCGGCCATTTTGGAACTGCCGATCAGCTGTTTCCAAAATGGCCGCCAGGTGCAGAAATGATTGCAATGCGATGTTTAGCCTATCTAAACATCGCAATGTGATCGCATTAGCGACCCCAAAAAACTGGTCGCTATGCGGATTTGTCGTTAAATGGTGCGCTCGTTAAGCGAGGCACCACTGTATAGGATATGGCATCTGTACTCACAAATCAAATCCCATCCAATAGCTCAACATTGCCTTGCATTATCAAGGAAAAAGGATGCCAAGCTTTTATATAGCAAAGGCCAGGCTGAATATTGATGACACCAGCAGTAAAGATGGTTTGCAGGATCCTCTCTTGTAGTCATTCCCACTCACAGACACCAAGCAAGGAAAAAATCCAAGAACCTGACTCCTTTTCCCCCAGTCCATTAACAACTTTTAAAATAGATAAATATACTTACTTACCTTTTTCCTCAGTCACTCTGATGGCAAATTATTCCTGTATTTAGGTTGTTGTTGTTTAATCGTTTAGTCGTGTCCGACTCTTTGGGACCCCATGGACCAGAGCATGCCAGGCCCTCCTGTCTTCCTAACACAAATATTTTTGATAAAATATAGATAAAAATAAACACTTCATTAACTATACATACTTATGTGAACTAAAACAGTCATCTAATTTTAGAATAAATGTACAGAACAGTTCATTTTAATGCAATGTATTTTAAAAGGAAACACCTTTTTATTTATGAATAAATTTTAAGGTATATTTATATTTATACTTCTGCAAGGCATTGCACTTGGCTCTTATAATCACAACAAACCTGTGAGGAAAATTGGGCTGGTATATGAAAATAATAAAATATGAGAAACAATAACTTTTGTTGGATGCATCCAGAAATTTGTTAACAATTTAATAAAAAATAAGAGGGGGTTGTATTCAAAATGACAGTTGCAGATGACCAATAATAATTATAAATTGCAGTAATAATTACTTGTGTTGGATATATAAGGAATAATAATACAAGGACTTTGACTTTTATTTTTCAGTCAAAGAAAAGCGAAGCAGGTTGTAGCAGGAAACATTTCCTTTTAAGGAAGCTGTGGATGGCCTTTGAAAAACAACTATTAAACACTCTACAGGCTGACAGAAGTAGTAGCAGAAAGGAGGGGAGGAGGAATGGCTTTTAAAATCTGAAATTAGATCTCTAAAAGTACCTGTCCAAACTTCTCCAAATTTGAGACAGAGCTACATTATGCCAAATATGGTCATAATTCAATAACTCGTTTAAAAGTTATAACATTTTGTTTGGACTGTCCCTTCTATCAAAAATGGCTCACAGAATGTTGTTTTGACTGGTCTAATGTGTGTCTATGTAGAACTGAGTGACATTGAATCCAGTGATTCTCTAGGATAAGGTCCAGTAACATTACAGTGGCACAGAACATTTTATATCCATAGATTTGAATAAAATGACTTATTTTATTCAGTATATGTACTCCCCTTACATTGTACAACCTTTTATTTTCCAAGTCTGTTCTAACCTTGAGGGTGACTGAGGTCCCATCGTTTTATCATCCAAAACATCTCCCAGTGCTATTTACAATCTTGACAGACAGGAATTGCTTCATAGAGTTATGGAATTATGTTAAGCACTTGTAACTGTATCTTCAAGTGGAATTTAAGAGTACTGTATTTTCTAAAATCAGATTTAACCGGCAAGAAGAGGATTATAATATTGCAAGACTGTATAGATAAAATCAAACACTATCCTTTAGTGGAGAAAAATGAGTTGGTTTTCGTTGTCTATGCAGTGTCTATGCAGTGATCCTTGATTATTGAAAATCTACCTTTCTTTAAAAGTTTTAAATTTATATTTTATATTTTCAATTCTGCTTTGTTGAGAAGATATATTTGCAGTTATACAGTATTACGATTAGTGTGAAGAGTTCTGTGACATGTCATATTTTTGGCAACCTTTATTTGAATTCATAAGTAAGTAAAACATGTTTTTGAATAATCTGGTGAGAATTACATGTTTTTATTTTGCTTGGAAAGTCATATTTTGTTTTTATTTTTTTAAAGAAGTGTTACATCCTATTTCTACTTAATTTTGTAATGAACATTATATCTTGGCCATATTTTAGTTGTCAACAACCTTCTTGCCAATTTCAACATACCAAAAAGCGAATGTAAAATTACAGCATTTTGTTCAAGAGTTTGGGGGAGCAGATTTTTAATAGTGGTGATATTTTGTTTTGTAAATTATGTGAAGTTAAAGTGTCACCCCGAAAGCATTGTAACATTTAACAACATTAAACATTTAACAACATACTTGAAAATTAATCCAAGTATGACCATTTTAGTTTCAAAATGTTAATTTGATTCCATCAATACTAGCACTTAGGGACTGGAAGTGAAGAATAAACCTTTTAATTTTTTATGTGTGTGTATAATCACAGATTTTTAAAAATTGGGTGCTAATTTCAGAAAAAAAATAAAGTCATAATTTTTGTTTAATTGGTCACATTTAAATAATTTTAAGGTCATCAGTGATTGCATATTTCTGACATTTTAGGTTACAGAAATCTTTGTATTAATTAGGATGCTTCTGTAAGGTTAAATTAGGCCAATAACTGTAAGCGAACCAAGATCAGAATGGAAACTGAAACCTATTTTCTATAACTATGCATGTGAAAGTTTTTTTTTAAAAATCCATCTCCATATTTTTTTCTCTGTGGCACCAGATTGGCTCCATTTCTGTTGCCAACCACCTGTATTAGAAGAAATGAAGGGAGTTCAATGTTAATATGGCTGAAAAGACAAAAATGGAGTATATAGAAATAATATATGGATGTGAAAGAGGAAGTTTTTATGGAAAAGTAGGCAATCTTGGAGAAAGAGTATGTCATTTTTTTAAAAAATGTGAAGTTTAAATTATGCCATAAAAGTCTTCCGTCACTCTTTGTAAAATGAAGAAATCCAGGATTTTATCCTGCCTTTTGGAGTCTCTTCAGACACAGTGTTAAACTATGTTACTAGTGTTAAGCTTGGGACTATTCAAGTTTCCTTTCCTTTCCTTGTGCATAGTGGTTGTTTATTCTTTAGTTCAGGAGCAAACTATAATTTTCTGTTTTTACTGACCCTAGAAACTGACAGTTCATTCAGAAACCAGAATTGCAAGCCACAGTGGGCTTTTCTTTGCCCAAAACATAGTTTGCTGGATTCAGATGAAAATAGCAAGTCATTGTGGAATGAAACTATAAATGTAGCATGAGAGCTTGATGCTTGTGTGTGCAGCTACCCGATTTGAATAGTTTTTCTGTGCTGCTTTGCTAGTAGTATATTCAGTTCATCGGATTAAGCATTTATGCTAATAAAACCAAAGCACAAGGAAGTCCAGATTCTGTCTTCAGATCTATCACTTGTAGGATCACAGTCTTCCGCTGTGGTCCTTACCACATAGTATGCAATGCTAAGCAATTTCTTGATAGCATAGTATGTCTACAAAGCTTGATAGGATTTTAAAGTTCTATGAATGGAATACAATTCTAGAAGTGTTGTTGTGATTTGTTCCATGTGTTCTTTTTGAGGACCGTTCTTGAAAATGATCTGAACGCAAATAATTTGTTCAGAAGGCTTCCATCTCTACAGTTAATTGGAGCTCTTATCTGAGGACTCAGCCATATACACTATGAATTGTGCAGTGGAGCAGATCCTGTAGAATAATCAAATATGTTAGTCCTAAGATTCCTGTGCAATAAGGTTTAGCAAATCACATTTATGCTGCACATTATCTTATCGTTGACCATGCTAAGATCTGTATGTATGCAGATATTTATCTAGTAAAGATTATAGTGTACCGTTACCATATTTCTTTATATTTCTCAGCATTTTGTAACTTGTTCAGTGGCTACATACCTAAGTATTATCATACGGTTGAGTTGGAAATGTACAATTCGGAATTATCTAACTTGCTTAATCAATTATAATTATTACAGATGATGCATAAGTAGGGTGGAGTAGCAATTACATAGACTTTTAAAGAATCATATTAAATTAATCAAATACATGTGTGCTGAATCATATCTTCACTACCCGGCCAGTAATAATTTTGTACTTGGCATCTGAGACTGATATATGTATTTGTCGCTGTACTTTTTTCTGATGTGATTATGACTTTACTGAGGAAATTGCTGCATCATCTATTTTATAATCTAGTTTTAATTGTGACTTTCCTCTTCTTTAGATTGGGGCATATGACCAACAAATATGGGAGAAATCCGTAGAACAACGAGAAATCAAGGTAAAATTTGTTTATTTTACAGTGGACCCTTGAATTACAGACCGCTTGACTTACAGACTTTTTGAGTTACAGACTTCTCTGGCCGCAAAATTTAGGTTTGACTTGCAGACTGAGATTTGACTTACAGACCAGAAAAAAACCAAAATGGAACAAAAACGGCCTTTTACGGGATTAATCGGTTTTCAATGCACTGTAGGTCAATGGAGACTTGACTTACAGACTTTTTGACTTGAGAACCGCCTTCCAATACGGATTAAGTTCTCAAGTCAAGACCCCACTGTATATAGTTCTTATATAGCGAATTTGTAGTTTCCTGTCTTCAATAGACTTGTTCCGCATCAGTTAGTTGGTAGAGAATTCCTGTGCAGAGGATACTGGGGTGCTGTGGCATATTCCATGCATGGTACGAATAGGATATATTAGAGTAACTCTTCTGTGAAAACCATGTGCATCCAAGAATATGCAGAACACGTTTCTAGGGGATGTCAGTAAGGACAAACTTCTAAGCAGTTTTTTTCCCTATATTTTCTTGTTGAGGAAACCCAGTATGTTCTGAGGAACCAAGTGATTCTGAAAACTTCAGTTTGAACTCCACTTATGTGTTGAAAGTCAGAATTTATTTTAAAGAGACTATGTAATGGAATGAGAATAAAAATGGATTGAATCCAAATTTGCACATACTAGGAGTAGACTCACTGAAATTTATGGGAGTTCAGTTAATCAAGGCTAAGCTGTGTTCCATTGTTTTCCATTGATCTTTTCTAAGTGTGAACCCAATTCAGCAGCTATATCAGTTGTTAATTTTTGTCCCTGTTTTGTTCTCTGTTATATAGTTTTTTCAGTAATACTTCGTTACTTTCTACAGATCTGCAGTATTTTTCTCAAATTTAAATTAGTTTTTATCTTTCTACTGAAACAAAATATTTATTTATTTATTTAATTTGTATGCCGCCCACACTACCCAAAGGTCTCAGGGCAGCTTACAACATTTAAAATACAATAAAAAGTCAAAACAATTAAAATGGAATTAAAATATAAACTCTAAAAATTGCCATCGGACCCACAGCTGATATTATTTCAATTAAAAGCCTTCTGGAATAGGAAGGTTTTGACCTGACGCCGAAATGTCATCAGCGTTGGCGCCAGACAAATCTCAGTCGGGAGGGCATTCCATAGTCTGGGGGCAGCTGCCGAAAAGGCCCTTTGTCTACAAGCCGTCCCTCTCACCTCCTTAAAGGACGGCTCTTTCAAAAGGGCCCCCTGGGTAGATCTTAATTGCCGGGTAGGTTCACATGGAGGGAGGCAGTCCTTCAGGTATCCAGGGCCCAAGCCGTTTAGGGCTTTATATGTCAAAACAAGCACTTTGAATTGGGCCCGGGCAGCAACTGGTAGCCAGTGTAACTTACATAAACGCCATGGGGCAGAGCAACTGTCCCCCAGTACCACCCTCTGGACATGGTCAGCCAGGAAGAAGTGGAACCACTGTAAAGCAGTGCCCCCAACTCCCAATCCAGGCAGCCTATCCAGAAGGACACTATAGTCGATGGTGTCGAAAGCCGCTGAGAGGTCCAGGAGTATCAACAAGGTCACAATCCCCCTGTCTCTCTCCTGGCAAAGGTCATCGTACAGGGTGACCAAGGCAGTCTCCATGCCAAAACCCGGCCTGAAACCCAGTTGAAATGGATCCAGAAATCTGTTTCATCCAGCAGGGCCTGGAGTTGCCCAGCCACAACCTGCTCCAACATTTTACCCAAATAAGGGAGGTTCGCTACTTGTCGGTAATTAACCACCAGCCTTGGGTCCAGGTTAGGCTTTTTAAGGAGTGGGCGAATTACCGCCTCTTTCAAGGTGGTAGGGACCACTCCCTCTCTCAAAGAGGCATTCATGGCCTCCTGGACCCAGGTGCGAACCCCCCTGGCCGATCTTCCAATTAGCCAAGATGGGCAAGGGTCGAGATTTGTGAGATTGGGGGACATTCTTTTCAACTAAGAATTTCTTGTTTTATGGAAGATAGCCGTATCAAGAGTTTAGATTGGATAAGCTCAGAATATTTTCTTGTTTGGTGTAGATGTGATTCACACATACAGGAGTGAGCATTCCCGCTTTCATATTGTTTGTTTTAATATTTTAAGCCACTTCGGGTCTTCTTGAAGAGAAAGATGGGATATAAATATTAAAAACAGCTAAACGTAATAGAGGGAGCCTGACTACATGTTTCTTTTTGAGAGCTGCAATTTCCAGTGCTGTGATAAATATTGGGGTTTTTTAATGTTGCTTTAAACTACATGCCATATGACATGCAATACAGTGGTGCCTCGCTTAACGAGCGCACCGTACAACGACGAAATCGCATAGCGATCCCTTTTTGGGATCGCTAATGCGATCGCTCAACGTTTTTTAGATAGGGCAAAATTCGCTTTGCGAAGATCGGTAAGCGTTTCGCTTACCGATCTTCGCAAAACGAAGCCCGACGATCAGCTGATCAGCGGCGAAAATGGCCGCCGGAAGCCCGGAAATGGCCCAAAATGGCCGCGCGCAGCGTTTTTGCGCCCTCGTTAAGCGAGGGGAGGGCGCGAAAATGGCTGCCGGCCATTAAGAAGCATCGCTGAACAGTGAGTATTCGGCCCATTTGGAACGCATTAAACCATGTTTAATGCATTCCAGTGGAATTCCCTGCCCCGTTCAACGATGCTTCAGCATAGCGAAGGTTAATCCGGAACGGATTAACCTCGCTATGCGAGGCACCACTGTATTTGTTCCTTTACAATTTTATTTGAATTTTATCAGAAATCATTGGCTTTCATACATTTGCCTTTGTAGTTCCAGTTTACTTTTCTTCCTTTTTCATCTTGTCATTATTTTGAACAGTTTATGAAATTGGTAAGTACTTGACCATGAAGATTTGTTTTATGCAAAACAGCTTTTGTAGATTAACAGTGTCTCTGCATCTTAGTGTGGCTAACAAATTCCCAACAATATCTGATAAGCGAGGACCTGTTTCAACAGCACCTGAATGCTTTTGCATCCTTTATATTGAACAAGCTTTGGCTTCTATTCTGTATGACTTTGTGGTGTTCCTGCCTAACTTCATGATCTAACTCTGAGCAGGACTGTGCTGTTAGGTTCATTTCTAAAGATACACAGAAATGTAATGTTTGGATTATAAGTAACACTGCTTTTTCACAGAGAGTACAAAATTTTCTGGAACTGCTTTCAGATGTTGATCAGATGTTGTCGTGCAGACTGCAAACAATCTGTTCCTCTATATATTTTTAATAAATTCAATTTACCAAAAATCATCTTTTTCCTTTTCAGGAACTAAATTGGATAAAGCCATTAGAATCCATTTCTGAAAATCCTGCACTGTCAAAAAGTAATTTTTAAAAAATTGATTCATTTTATATTTCTAGTGACTGAAGTACTATGAGAAGACTAGTGTTTCCTAATCTTTTTTTCCTTGGAGGAACCCCAGAATATTTTTTTATATTCTGAGGAGCCCCTCACCTTTGGAAATACATATAGGCCATGAACATTTGATAGTAGGGAACAAAATTAAATTATTGCTAAATAATTATAAAAATATATTTATAAAAGGCTTGCGTATAAATAAGGTTACACTTTGAAGAAATAATTCAAATATTTGTCTTTGGGTTTTTTTTCATATTTTCTAATCTTGCCTTAAAAATACCAAACAAGTCAAAATTAAACAGCAAAATGAATGTGACATCCGCAGTAATAAAGTTTGCTTCTGTTGTTTCCTCTTTGGTTCTTACTTAGGCAGCAGCCAGCTGAGAGCACAGCTGCTCTGCCCTTTCTGACATGGACTGCAATGTCCCCACAACCTTCCAGCTTATGAACTACAAACTTCCAGTGTGCAAGTGCCACATTTTCCATACCAGCAGCCTTTTCTGAATTAAGCCCCTGGGCCATTGTTGAACAGAAAAAGAGTCATAGCAAAGCCAAACAGCAACTTTCCCTGCTGATGCAAGCTATTCAGTGAAACTTCTGTGCCCTTACTATTTCTGAAATGCACCAGCTTGATGACTCTAGATTTCCCAACCCCAAGTATACAATTTTGTTTGCCTTCCTAAAGCAGCAGCATGTGACTAATATAATGTAGTAGCCGGGCGAGATGAGGAGCAGCTCATGGATAGCTGCAGCAGCAGGCACTTCAGTGTAGCATCTGCACTGGTGTAGTGTCATTTGACTTACTTGATGATATTATAAATCCCCAGGCTGCAATGTCAGACATCACCCTCCATTCCTCTCTCCCTAAGCCCTATGCCAGTCAGGTGAACCTCCATCTTCCTTCATAAATCACTGGCGATGGTTCCTGAGTAATCCCTGCCTTCCCTTGGCTGGAGAGTGTTCTGCCATTGGCTGGTGGTAATCCTTCAGAAGTGAAGGTTGGCAGATCTCTACTTCAGCTTTAAGGGAGTGGAATAGTTTAAAGTTTTTGAATTATTTTTGCATGATTTCTTGCATAACAATTGACAGTGTTCTATGAAACATCACTTTGTAATCATTGGAGAAGACTGTAGAGCTTAATGGCTTGTTCAAGAAGCAGTGGAATGAGTGAGATTGCTTGTCAATAGACAATAAGCCATATTTGCAACTTGCTACTTACCTCGCTGTGCAAGCAGTCATTTGGCACACACGTCTGTCTCATTCTCCATGTTGTTTTCTACTTGCTTGCACATTTTTCAGCGTGACGCTGGCAGATACCACTGTACTTAGCAGCACCAACAAGGAAAACATAGCTGAGTAACAAGACTTTTGTATGTGCCTTATCTCTTTTGGCAGATGGAAACTGAGGAGTGACAGAACTAACCAAGTGATGTACCTGCTGCATGTGTGTTCATTCTTATTCCCAGCAAAAAAAAAAAGCAGTGATGTAATGGGGGAGGGAGATGAGTTACTAGATTGGAAGAGGGGCAGCCAACATGTTGCAATTAATTATTAGGAATTATGACTCTTCAGTAATTTGCTTCTGTTGAAAA